TGTATAAAACTGTACAAAATCCTTATAAACATCCTTACAAAATCTTTTAAATATCCTTAAAAATCCGTTAAAATACCTTATAAATATTACGCTTGCAGGTGGAAGTTTACGATTATCGAACATTTAATGCGCCATTCGAATTTCTAAACTATTAAAATATCTTATAATAATATAGATATATACGTTCCTAGTACAAGATAACAGATAATAATGGGTCCTAAAACAAAATAACATGTTATTGTGCTTTTATATAGCATCAAAAGGTTAAGATAGGTGAAAAAACTAAGAAGACCGCCGAGACCGATAACATCTTACATTCCTTGAGCATCCAGCTTCGTCTGTCGGGCGGGTTCTTACATTCCTTGAGCATCCAGCTTCATTTGTCGGGCGGGTTCCTTGAAGAGAATGTTGAACTTGGACATAGCGAGCCTGAAGTTTTTCCAACCTGTATTTGGTTGCTTCAATTTCTGCCGCCAAATATTTCTGTTCACGCAGCAACTCTGATGGTTGAACGGCCTGGACAAGCACCTAAACCAAACAAATAAGAATAGTCAGCAAAATCTGTGTTAAAAACTATGTTATAATAGCATTAGAAAAACCTTATAAAAATGTAAATCTAGGTTACAAATAATCTTTATAAACCGTTCAATATCCTTATAAACCTTATAATTTTAACATTTTGTTTTCTGTATTCTTTCCAGCCAACTCATGCTATTATAAAAGCATTAAAAACATTACAAATCTAATACAAAAACATTACAATTCTATTATAAAATCTATTATAAAAGCATTAAAAAAAACCTGACAAATCAAATGCACAAACCTGAGAGGAACTTCCAGGAGCAGGAACAGGCGCAGGTGGAGGGTTTTCATTGTCCTCTTCATCAGAACTTTCATCCGGAACTTCTTGAAAAAAATCAAACATTCTAAGCGCTACCATCAAAAGCTGCAAATTCCCTGCAATGAATTTTCATAATGTTAAAAATTTAACAAGAACTACTATATTTCAGAAATATTTTATAGCAGGGCTCATGCTGGGGGATGAATGGGTCATTGAGAGACGTGCCTAGTGAAGTTTGGTCTACAATACGTGGATGCAGCAATAAGGCAGTGTTCATGAAACTTTTATCCAGCTCGTAGAATACACCAGAGAACGATTCATCAGGAATTACATTCTTTGGTACAACTCCTACATAACAAAAAGGTAAACAAACTTTTATAAGCCTTTTTACAGACTTTTATAATTTATAAGCTTTTTTACACTTTATCAGCGTTTTTAGGGTTTATTATACAGTGTGTATAAAGTTTTGTAAATTTTTTTACATATTTTTATAAGTCTTTTGTACAGATTTTATAAACCTTTTTTACAGACTTTTATAATACAGGACGGTATAAAGTTTCCATACCTATGTTTGACCAGCAGCTGCGGACTCTTCCAACTCCATCGTGGATGACATAGAAGTATTCTCCACCGTCAGCACTTGCATCCAGCCACATTGGAGGATCAACAGGAGATCGTTCACCTTCGCGAAGTTGAAGGTTGAATCGTCGGGAATTTCCTTCAACGCTAACGAGGCGAAACGAGTGTGCCACCATTTTCCCGGAGATATGAATGCCAGATAGGTCGGACAAGACTTGCAGAGCATGTATCAATCCCCAAGCTCGGAGAACTAACTAGCTTGGGGCAATTTGCATCAGCTCACAATATTCTGTCAAGATCCATGACAGATAACGACGAAATCCAACACCGACACATGATCGATACATTGTTTGTATAAATCGCTGTTGGAGCAGCCGATGGAGCCGATTCCTTGTCTCGATTTATCTACACCTGAGTGTGCATATCGGATATGGCGAGATACGCTGAGAATAAATCATTCCTTGGATTAGCCACAATTTAAGAATATGTTTAAAAATCCTTATAAATTTTACATTCATTGCAATAACCCATATATCCAGCGGAACTGCTTTGAATATTTTTCCTTATTGAAACAGACGGATAGAGGTAGATACATACAAACATATACGCAACCATAATTTTCCAAAAACTCTATTTTTTTCCAAAACCCTAATTTTTCCCCCAAAAAAAACCCCAGATTTTCCAGGCAGATAAAGCCCCAAATTTTCGACAAAAGCCCCAGATTTTCGAAAAAGCCCCAGATTTTTCAC